GCCCGCCAGACCAGATATTGGCCAGGGGAGAGAGTGGCTCTGGCCAACTGTTTCCAATCATCTGGGGTCAGGGCATTAAAACTAATTTGTTCTAGCAGCGTGATCGTAAAGGGGGCATGTACACCATAAGAATCGACGGCTATTTTCAAATCTTTAATCACTTTGAAATCAAGGGGGAGGTAAAACCATGGCCATGCCCCCCCCAGTGTCCTGATCCTTGTGAACAGGGAACACCTGGCCGGGCTCCACAAGGTCCTGCCAGCCGAATCCGGCACCCTCTCTCTGGCAACACAGGCCAAGGAGGGGCGCTAGGGTTCACCGGTGGGTCACCAGAGGGAGGATGCCGAGGAAGCCTGCGGGAGCCCATGTGGGAGCCCAATGAGGCCCTGTTCATCTGGTTGATGAGCTGGTCTAGCTCCTCGCCTGACTTTTCATCAGATTCACTGTCACTTTCAGATTCTGAACTCCCCTGTTCACTCCTTCCCAAAGTAGAGGCTTCTTCCTGCATGTTTCGGAGAACCTCCTCTCCCTCCTGTATTATCTCTCAGTACTTTCCTGACTTATCTGCTAGGCAAGATCTAACGAACATCCAGAACCCTACGATCCCTGGTGGTAGGGGCATATGCGGAGCCGCTCGGGCTAAGTCTCGACCTAAACGTTCCCACTGCGGCAGCGTTAGGAGTCCCTCCTCTAGAAACCACGGAGCATGCCGCTGTGCTATCTGCAAAAATGAAAGTACTGTCTGTGCCTTTACTGGCGTTCTATTCTTCTTCAGTAGGATCTGCAGTAAACACTGCATGTGTACTGAAGAATTTGAACTCCCCATAGTGTTACCACTTCTGGTGAGCTTACTCTTGTTGCCATCCAGCGTACCTAGCATATGCTTCCCTCTCAAGGCAGCTCCCTGAGTCTGCTCATCTCCTTTTCAATCTCCCCGCTTCCAAGCTCCCTGAGTCCTTGCTCAGCTCTGTTTCGCATTCCCCGCTTCTGTGACTCCCTGGGCTCTTATTCCCAGCTACGGCTTACCTGTAGTTCCGATCCCAGTAACAGCACCAGATGTCAGGGTCCCTTGGCCAGCAAGTCAAACCGGACACTTGTTGTCTTTGCAGAATCTTTATTGTGGAGAAGACACAACAAAACCAGCACAGCAGGCCCATGCAGCCGACGCAGCAGCTACGCCATCACAAGGCGCGCTCTCTCCCTCCGAGGCATGCTCTCTACCCCTCCCCGGTTCTCTGGCTTCCTTATATATTGGATAACCAGGCAAATCGACATAGAGGTCACCTGTGCCTGCAGCGGGCAGGCCAATCATCACACATCATGCGCTGTCCACGCGCCATCCAAGCATCCCTGGGCCAATCACAGCAGACTTGCTGTGGCTTGTTTTTTCTAGCACAGGAGGAAGCAGCAGTCCGTTGCCATCCGTCTAGGGTATGGGATGCAGGCTCCCTACATCTTGTCATTTTGGGATTTTAGCCTCTAACTTGCTTGTCCTCGGCCGCTGCCCTAGAGGTATCCTGGAGGTGGTATGATCCAGCTAATGCTGAAAGGTATGTTGTTAGAAGTTTAATTCTTCTTGCTGTATTGGGGACAGCAGGTGATGGTGGGGTGGGTGTTGGGTTGTTTCATAAGCCTCTGAGATTATATCTCTGCAACCCAGTTCTGCTGCACCTAGTTGCTTAGGTTGTTTCTTACATATACCAACAGGGATAGAGTGTGGACGAGAGACTTTGTCGATTTGGGCTTCTTGTCTTTGCTCTGGGTGGATATAGAGCTTGAGGTTCCACACCCTACTACACTCTCACAAATATGCTCCACTGCTCGGAAACACGCTGCTGTGGCTCGCTTGCCTGCATCTACACCCTGGTCAGCAGACTCTGTTGAGCTGCTTCAGAAAGCTCTGTGGCCCAGGCCCTAATGCGAGGCTACTCTTCCTGTTGCACTTTCTCAAAGGCACTGCCCCACTGTGAGATACATTGTCATCTTTCTGTTAGCCCACACCTCTGTCCTGATCAGTTGACTCTGTTGTATAGTGCCCCACCTGTGGGAAAGGAGCTGAGCACATCAGGGGGTTGTGCCTGAGCTTCCAGCTACCTGATGCTCAAAATCCACAGCCCCTAGCTGGGTTAGGAAAGCTCTGTGTGCCCTGGCCTTGTGAGGCTCCCTGTTACACTCTCTCAAAGGCACTGACACACTGTCATGTCCCTCCAAGCCAGCTATCCTGTGCATTGGTCCTCATTGTCTGACTGTGTGGAGCAGTGCCGCCCCACCTCTGGAGTTGGAGCTGAGCAGAGCAGGGTGTTCCGCTGGAGCTTCCATCTGCCTGCTGCTCACATTCCATAGCCCCTAGCTGGGTTAGGAAATCTCAGTGGCCTGGACCTAGTGAGGCTCCGCTCCTTGTTGTACACTCTCAAAGATGCGCCCCAGTTGTAAGGTACTCATCTGTGTCTGTACTTAACCTACACCTCTTTCTGGGTTGGCAGATTCTGTGGTGTGGTGCCCCACCTCTCAGGCCTCACCTGCTCAGGCTGAGCACAGCAGAAATTTCTGTCACTAAACCAAAGTTTGGAATTGAGATTCTGAGACCCAGCCCAAGAGCAAGGCTCCAGCCCCCTCTGCACTTTCTCAATAGTGCCGATCTGTTGAAATGTGTGCTGCTGGAACCCCCTTCCCTGCTTGTCCTCAACCTCTGCAGAGGTTGATGGACCCCCTTCCCTGCTTGTCCGCAACCTCTGCAGAGGTTGATGGACCCTATGTTCAAACATGTAGCCACCTTTAAAGGTTTACAAGACTCCAGTGGTTTGAGGCTCCAGCTCATGTGGGGACTTGTTTTTGTAGCTGCCTTTGTCTTCCCTGGATCGGCTGAGACTACATGGGCATTCCCCCTGCCTGGGACCACAGCTCACTAAGTTTTGCACGACGTGCTGCCTTTCCTTTTGTTCTCTTTCTGGCTGTCCCTCCAAGCTCTGTTGATATTCTTACTTCAGTGAAGTCCAGTGACTGTCTCACTTCTCTCCCTGCAATTCTGTGTCCTGGTTTGTTCCTGTGCTGGATGTGTTCTGCTCTCTCCATGCTCCACCTTTTATCAGCTCTTAGATGTCAGCCACCTTTTTCCCGTTCCCATCATTCAGTTTAGAGGCACATCGACAGAGGATGACCATAGCCCTGTGATACAACGGACAGTCTTTGAACCACTATGGAGACCACATTCGTCTAGGTAGAACAAGGACCCAGAGTAATGCTTTGACACATCCTTGGGGCTGTCCCTTGTATGAAGTTGTCACCCTGTTCAGCGATGTCCAACATTCCAGACACTGTCCTGCATCTCGATTCCTAGAGTAGTAGCAAGCTGTCACTAAAAGGGCGTGTTGGTGGTGCAAGTGTGTGGGGGTGGGCTTTTGTAGCAGTCTGATTCCCATGTATTATAACCCAGCTGCCACAGGGGGTGTGGAGCTCCAGATGACAAGAAGCTCGCCGGCATGGTGGTGGATAAGTTGGACCAAATGGCAGGTGACAGCACAGCAACTTTGGTGGAGCTTGAGCTCAGCGCTCACTCTTGCTTCACTCACCTACGTCTATTTAGCAGTGCCTATACAGGGAGCATCCGGATTGGCTGCCCCTCCGTGACCACAAAGTGTTCTGTGCTTGTACCAGCTGTCCAATCAGCACATGCCTGGTCATAAGTGGCCCCAAAAAATATGGCCTCAGCATTCTAGAAAAACCAGGGCAACAGAAAGGCCCCTTTTGTCATGGCATAGGAAGCAGGCAGGTGACTCAAGCTCTGCTTTCTGTCATCTTTCCTTCAGTGCCCCTCCATACTACCGCTACTGACCCTCCCACCCTGACACATATCCCCACAGGACCTACCAGGGAGGAAATCCAGCCTCCGTGTAAGCAAGCTGTCCATGAGTGTATGGGGCTTGTTTGTCTTCTGAGTGGGAGTTTGCCAATATGCTGAAAACAGAGTGAAGCCCAGTAGTTTTGCAACACTCTTACTAGGAAAGCATTTATCCTGGTTTGTACTTTCATTGTCATTCACTTTAGAGTCATGTAGACAGAGGATGGCCATAGCCCTGTGATACAAGGGAGAGTCCTTGATCCTCTATGGAGACCACAATCATCTAGGTAGAACAGGGAGAGACTCACAAGAATGGTTTCACACTGCTGCAATCTGTGCTGTGTGCGTGTAGGCATGAAATTTTAGAGAAACAGCTGAACTTGAGAGTAAATGCTATTGACAATGTTTTGTTGATTAGGCCATTATATGCACACAGGAGTACAATTAAACCCATGATATTTCTGGAAACCTTTTTATGTACGTACTGATTGCCCTGATCTTGGAACCAGACAGATAGCATGCCTTCTGCTAAATGGCTTAATAAGAAATTTACAAAGTAATGGATGTAATAGAAGTGATTGCTGAAACTGCTATAGCAATAAATATATTCATTGTTATCGCAAAGGCTAGCCTCTCTTTGCAATGTTTTGGAGCATAGAAAATGTAATTGTTTTAGCTGCTTTTATAATTTTTAGCTAGAGGAATTAAGGATGCTTTTATTAATGAAAAATGCTTTATTGTTTATGGGGTTGTAGGAGTCTATATTTGTGAGGGGATTTAACATTTGAAGTTTCTGTTTTAGATTTTAGGTTTTTCCCTTGTAAACTTTTTTAACAATAAATAATGGGTAAATTATAGAAATAGAAATGTGGTAGAAATGTACTACTAATTAGCAGCTAATCTCATGTGCCTTGGCCTTGAAGTCCTGCCTGTTACTCCATGGCTACAGTTGAAGAGTAAATAATGGTTTGCTTTGAAGAATGTGGATACAGTATTTTGCAGAATTTTCTTTAGGGACACCTGCTTAGCCTTGAAGTGCAGAAGGAATAACCAAATGTCTGTACCTGCCCCCTTAGACTTGAAGTAAAAATAGAATAATCAGTTACTTGTGCAGAAGCTATGAGCACAGCTTTTCTTTGAGCTGTTGTGAGAATGCACCAAATGGCTGTGTCTGTGTCTTTCTTTATCACAATCTCCACACACCCTTCCTGAGCTCTGAACTTGCCTGAGCTGGACTCCAGCGTAACACAACATTGGGGCTGTCTCTGGTATGAAGTGAGCACCCTGCTCAGCCAGGGCCAACAATGGGGGACAGATACATGGCATAAGCTGCCATGCATCTTGGAGTCATGTGGTAGCAAGAAGCGTGTAGAAGGAGGTGTGGGGGAGCACAGGGGTGTGTGGATGTTGTAGCAGTTTGAAGCAAACAGCATTGTAAGCCAGCAGCCACAAATTACAGGAACGCCACATCCATGAAGGTGGATGAGTTGGACCAACAGCACAGCAAATTTGGTGGACTGTGACCTCAGTCACAGATGAAGCATCTGCAGACCCCAAAGGATGAAAATCAATAAGATAAGGCTCAGGCCTACTATACCAGCCCATTGGCATGCAACGGAAAAAGACCCTTTAGTATCCAATTTGTCCATTGCTCTATCATGGCAAACTATACTTTGTGCTATTTATGGCTAATATATGGGATCTTTGTTCCTAACTCAAATTATAAGAACCTGAAGGTCACTTTCTTTCACCTGAATGGGCATGGGAATAAGCTGTGGAATGCTCACCAGCACCTCAGTGCTTGAGCCATTTCAACTCTGGCTAAGGGCTCACTTAACTGCAGAGCAGTTCAAAAAGGTAACATTAGCACTCGTAAAAGCAATAAACATAAATGGAGCGTGTACACATGCATAAATAGCTTTAGATGTGGATAAGTGCAGATCATCTTTGCTATGAAGGGCCCTCCAAACGTTGCACCCTATGGTGTCTATCTGGGCATAAACAGGCTTGGGACAATCTATTTGGTTTTCCTGTCCCACTTGAACACCTTCCCCAAGGAGTAAGTCTACATCCCATACAGGTTTCACTGCTTGGTCATTACGATGAGTGGTGTCTAGTGCTAAATCTCAGCAGGCTGAGCGCCAGACCAAATACTGTCCAGGGGACAGGGTGGCTTTAGCTAATTTTTTCCAATCATCAGGGGTCAATGCCAAGCCTGCTATCTGTTCCAGCACCGTGAGGGTGAAGAGGGAATGAATACTACAGGAATCAACTGCGGTCTTTAAATCTTTAATTAACTTGAAATCAAGTGAGACCCAGAAGCGAACTGGGGGATTTTGTGTTCTATCCTCTGTAACTGGAAACACTTGGCCTGCCTCTGCAAAATTGTGACATGAACTTGCACCCTGAGGTGAGGGAAGGGCACAGTTTCTCTCCTGGCACTGCAAGGGCAACAGAGTTTGCGTGAGTCGGGGGGGTCTCCTGCAGGGGGAGCTGGCTACCAGATAAGCCTTTCTGATTACATTTTGGCTGTCTATAATTTCTGCACGAGTTCATCAATATCCTCGCTAGAGGTCCCCACCAGACTGTCTGAGTCTGGGTATTCTTCAGTGCTATCTCCTCCTTTTAAGGAAGCTTCTTCCTGCACTGAAGACATTAAATTGCCCATATTTCTAACACATTTGCTCTTCGCTAACCCGTGAACTTGACTCCTCACTAGATCACAAACTTGACTGTTCACTAAACCATGAACTTGACTGGTTGCTAAACCATGAACTCGAGGTTAACTTGAGCCACCTATTGTGGCTTCCTGAGCAAAAGGCTCAGTTGTAAACTAATTCCCACTGTAATAGACTCTCTGATCAATCTGTTCAGCTGCTTATCTTCTTGGTGCTCACCAGCTGACATGTATCTGAATTACAGCACCAATTATTGGGCTCTCCCTTCTTATGGAAGAAATCACTCAACACTGGAAAGCGTCTCAGAGGTGTTTTAGTCAGACCTTCTGTGAAACCATTATGTCCATTAATTCCGTTTGGCAGAAGCCGAATCCTCACACCCCCAAAGCCCTGGCATATATATATCAATCCTATCCAATCATCTTAAAGATCACTAAGGCACGCCAATCAAGGCAAAGGGCCAAACACAGGACAGGATATTGTGAGTGCCCCAAATACTTTAAACAACCTAGGGGAGTAGGCTTACAAAGTTATGGGTGTTAAACTGATAAAATAGCCAACCACCACACACACACAACAACATCACCTGCCATGCACTTTTTTGGCAGCTGCTTACTACTCCAGAAATCCAAGATGCAATACAGCTTATGACATAGACATGTTCCCCATAGTTAGAACTCGCTGTGCAGAGCGTCCACTTCATAAAAGGGACCACTTTAACTGTGTGTCAAACCATTCTCTTGGGTCCCTGTTCTACCTAGATGAATGTGGTCTGCAGAGTGGCTCAAGGACTGTCCATTGTGCAGAGGGTTACGGCCATCCTCTGCCTATGTGACTCTAAAGAGAATGACAATGAAACCACAACCAGGGGAAACAATTTTTAAGTAACAATGTTGCAAAAGCTTGAGGCTTCACACCATTTTCAGTATATTGTCACATCCCCACTTGGTAGACACCCAAGCCCCATACAATGCTAGGCAGGTGGTTCCCATGGTTTCTGTAGATCCACTGTGGTAGTCTGTGTGTATGTGTGTCTGTGTGGGGGAGGGGGAGGTTTGGCAGGGGTTAGGACAGAGAGGCATTGTGCTGAAGACCACAGAAAGCAGAGCTTGAGACACTGGCCCGATTTCTGCACCAGGCCAAAAGTGGCCATTATATCACAATGGTTTTCTACACTGCTGAATCCACAACATGCCGGTCCACTTATGACAAGGCAGCTGCTGATTGGCAGTTGGTTACAGCCACAGAGCCCTGTTTCATCATGGAGAGGCAAACAAATATGATGCTGCCTGTACCTGGACAGCCGAATGGACTTACATAAGTGAATCAAGAGAGAGAGCTGAGGTCATGGTCCACCAACTTGCAGCTACAATGGCTCTCTCCACACACACGAACACCCACATCAACTGCCATGCCCTTCTTTGGCAGCTGCTTTCAAATTCAGGAATTGAGATGCACTAAAGCTTCAGACATGGACCTGTGCCCCATAGTTGGAACTCGCTGATCACGGCACACACTTCATGTAAGAAACCACCACAATGCGTTGTCAAACCAATCACGTGGGTCTCTCCCTGTTCTACTTAGACAAATGTGGTCTTCACAGAGGATCAAGGACTCTCTCTTGTGGCACAGGGCTATGGCCATTCTCTATCTATGGAACTCTAAGCAAGAATGACAATAAACCACAACCTGGGTGCAATGATTACCTAGTAACAGTGTTGCAAATCCCAGGACTACATGACATTGCCAGCATATTGGCACACTCTCAATCAGTAGACACCCAAGCCACATACACTCACAGACAGCTAGCTTTCACAGTGGCTGGACTTGCTCCCTGGTAGGTACTGTTGAGATGTGTGTGTTTTGGGAGGTGAAGGCTTGGCAAAAACGGGGTCGGAGTTGTGTTGTGTGGAAGACCACAGAAAGCAGAGCTTGAGACACCTGCCTACTTTTCACATTAGCCTAAAAGGGGCCTGTCTGTAGCCATGGCTTTTCCAGATTGCTAAGGCTGTAGCATTCCAGGCCACCTATGCCCAGGTAGCTGCTAATTGGATGGCTGATATGAACACAGAGCCCTGCTGGGTCATGGATAGGGAGCCAAATGTGATGCTGCCTATACCTGGACAGCCACATGGGCATGGGTGAGTGAAGCAAGAGTGAGGGTTGAGGTCACGGTCCACCAAACGTGATATAATGTCACCTGCCTCTTGGTCCAACTCATCCAACCCCATGCCTGGGAGCTTCCTGTCATCTGGAACTCACACCACCTGTGGCAGCTGGCTTAAATCATATGCCTATCACACTGTTACAGTAATCCACCACAAACACACACAGACCATGTGCCAACTGTCACGCACTTTTTGGCAACTGCTTGCTACCCCAGAAACCAAGATGCCCCACAGCTTCTGACAGGGATCTGTCCCCCATAGTTGGACCTCACTAAGCAGGGCGCACACTTTAAACAAGTGCTGGAAAAGAGCTGAATGGTGATTTGATTTAAACAAGGGATCTTCCCAATGCAGTTTCAAACCATTCCTCTGGGCCCTCCCCTGTTCTATCTATATGAATATGGTCTTTGTAGTACCTCAAGGACTGTCAGTTGTGGCACAGGACTATGGCCATCCTCTGCCTACATGACTCTAAAGAGAATGACAATGAAACCACAACATGTGTGAAACATTTTCATAGTAACAGTGTTGCAAAAGCCCTGGTCTTCACTCTGTTTTCAGTGTATTAGCACACTTCCACTCAGTAGACCTCATACCCCATACACTCATGAGCAGCTGGAGTCAACAGTTCTGGCATCCTACCTCGTAGAGCCTGTGGAGATATGTGTGTGTGTGTGGGAAATGGATGCTGGAAAGGGGCTGAATGGCAATTTGAAGGAGACCACAGGAAGCAGAACTTAAGCCGCCTGGAGGCTTTCAGCACCAAGCCAAAATATTGCCTTTCTGTTACCATGATTTTTCCAGAATAAAGAAGCCATAGCATTCTGGGAGGCTTATGATCAGGTGGCTGCTGATTGGATGGCTGTTCCGACCACAGAGCCCTGTGAGGTCACAGAGGGGCCAACAATTTTGATGTTCTCTATATTGGTACAGCTACATGAGACTACGTGAAGGCTGAGGTCATTGTCCACCAAAGTTGCTGTGCTTTCTCCTGCCTGTTGGTCCAACTCCTCTACCCCCATGCCTGAGAGCTTCGTGTCATCTGGAGCTCCATACCATATGTGACAGCTGGCTTACAATACTATATTTGCCAAATTGCTGCAATGGCCCACCACACAGACATGCACATACAACACCCTGCCATGCACTTCTTTTGCAGTTGCTCGCTACAACAAGAATCCAAGATGCACTACAGCTTCTGACATAGATCTGTCCCCTATAGTTGGACCTCACTGAGCAGGGCACCAACTTCATAAAATGGATTGCCTGAACACTGTTTCATAGAATTTTTTGGATCCCTGTTCTATATAGCTGAATGAGGTCATCAGAGTGGCTCATGTACTGTTCATTGTGGCAGAGGGCTATGGCCATCCTCTTCATATGTTACTCTAAAGAGAATGACAATGAAACCACAACACAGGTGAAATGTTTTTTTCAATAAATTGTTGCAAAAGTCCTGGGCTTCACATCATTTTCAGCATGTTGGCATTGTCCCACTAGTTAGATACCCAAGAACCATAGAATCACGGAGAGCTGGAGTCCGTTGAGGTAAGAGATCCTCACTGTAGTGCCCGTGGAATGTGTGTGTGTGTTGGTGAGAGAGAGGGGGAAGGAATGGCCAGGGCCAGGGCTATGGATGAGAGTAGTTTGTGGAAAGACCGCAGAAAGCAGATCTTGAGCCTCCTGCCAGATTTCTTCACCAGGCCAAAAGTGGCCTGTCCGTCACCATGGCTTTTCCAGAATGCTGAGGCCATAGCATTCCCGGCTGCTTATGATCAGGTGGTGCTGAGTGGATGGCTGGGAAAGCCATAGATCCCTGTAGGTCATAGAGAGGCAGCCAATCGGGATGCTTCCAGGACTGGAATTCCACATGGGCTTAGGCGAGTGAAGCAAGAGTGAAGGCTGAGGTCATAGTTGACAAAAGTTGCTGTGCTGTCACCTGCCAGATGGTCCAATTCATCCTCCCCCCCACCCATGCCTGTGAGCTCCCTGTCATCTGGAGCTCCACACCAATTGGGGCAGTTGGTTATAATCCAATGGCTGTCACACTGCTACAATGCTCCACCCTACACACACACTAGTACCCCCATCAGGCATTTTTTGGCAACTACTTGCTACCTCAGGAATCCAAGATGGAAGACAGCTTTTACATGGATGTGTACCCCATAGTTGGACCTCATTGGGCATGGCATCCACTTCACACAAGGAACCGCTTCTAAACAGGGTCAAACTATTATTGTGGGTCCCTGTGCTATCTAGACAAAAGTGGTCTCTATAGTGGCTCAAGAATTGTTTGTTGTGACACAAACGTATGCTCATCCTCTGCATATGTGACTCTAAACAGAATCCCAAAGAAATCACAACCCAGAAGAGACGTATTCCTAGTATCAGTGTTGCAAAGTACTGGATTTGTCATTTTCAGCATATTAGCACACTTCCACTCAGTAGTGCCTTAAGCTCCATATACACATGGGCTCCTGGATTCCAAGGAGGCTGAACATACTCCCTCATAGGGCCTGTGGCAATGCTTGTGAGTCCGTGTGAGAAAGGGATGGTGAGCGGGGCAGGAGTGGCATTTTGTGGTAAGACCACAGAAAGCAGAATTTGAGCCACCTGCCCGCTTTTTGCATTAGCCCAAAAAGTGTCTGTTGCAGCCATGGCTTTTCCAGAATGCTGAGATTGTAGCATTCCAGGCATTTTATGAACAGGCAGCTCCTGTTTGGATGGCTGGTATGAACACAGAGTACTGTGAGGTCACGGAGGGGCAGCCAATCGGAATGCTACCTATATTTTTACAGCCGCATGGGCTTAGGTGAGTGAAGCAAGATTGAGAGCTGAGGTAGGGGCCACGAAACTTGTGCTGTCACCTGCCTGTTGTTCCAACTCCTCCACCCCCATGCCTGAGAGCTTCCTGTCATCTGGAGCTTCACACCACCTGTGGCAGTTGGCTTATAATCCTATAGATGCGAAACTAATATAATGGCACAGCCATCCCTCCCAATCACATATAAACCCGATTGGCAATTGCCTGCTACCCCATGAATCCCAGATTCACCACAGCTTCTATCCCTCCTTGTTGAACACGCTGTGCAGCGTGCCCACTTCAGCTTTTGACATGCATTTTTCGAAAAATACATGTTCAACCGCACTAATAAGGGTAAGATTTCATAATGCATTGGACAGCCCCAACGCTGTGTCAAACCTTTCCTATTGGTCTTTTTTCTACCTAGCTAAATCCGGACTTCAAAGTGGGTCAAGGATTGTTCATTGTTGCACAGAACTATAGCCATTTTCTGCCTACGTGACTCTAAAGAGCATGACAATGAAACCAGTTTCATAGTACCAATGTTGCACTCCTTTTCCTGCATATTAGCACACTCCAACTCATTAGATCCCAAAGCCCTATACACTAACGGGCAGCTGGATTTCACAGAGGCTGGACATCCTCCTGTTAGGGCTTATGGGGATGTGCGTTTGTTGGGGCGGATGGTAGTTGAGGGGAAGAAAACTGAAAGCAGAGCTTGAGCCACCTGCCCACTTTCTGCACCATGTCAAAAGTGGCCTGCCTGTCACCATGGCTTTTCCAGAATGATGAGGCCTTAGTATTCTCCTCTGCTTATGTCCATGCTGCTCTTGTTAGAACAGCTGGTACAGCCACAGAGCCCTGTGAGTTCATGTAGAAGCAGCCAATTTTAATGGTCCCTATATAGTTACAGTCGCATGGGCTTAGGTAAGTGAAGCAAGATTGAGGGCTGAGGTCACAGTCCAATAAATTTGCTGTGCTGTGACTTGCCTATTGGTTCAACTCATCTACCCCCATGCTGAGAGCATCCTGCCATCTGGAGCTACACACCACATGTGGCAGCTGGCTTACAATCCTATAGATGCAAAACTAATAGAATGGCACAGCCATCCCTCCCAAACACACATACACCGCATTGGCAACTGCTTGCTACAACATGATTCCCAGATTCACCAGAGCTTCTATCCCTCCTAGTTGAACTCGCTGCACAGTGTGCCTACTTCATATATGGGACAGTCCCAATGCTCTGTCAAACATTTTTTGTTGATCCCTCCCTGTGCTACCCAGAAGAATTTTCTCTCAGTAATGGCTAAAGGACTCTTCATTGTGGGCCAGGGCTATGGTCATCCTCTGTACATGAATCTAAGAGAATGACAATGAGACCACAACCTGGGAGAAACGCTTTCCTAGTAACAGTGTTTCAAAAGCTCTGGGCTTCCCGAAATTTTCACATTATTGGCACACTTCCACCCAGAAGACACCCAAGCCCCATACACTCATGGACAGCTGGCTCCCACATAGGCTGCACTCCTCCCTGATAGGACCTGTGGGGGTTGTGTGTATGATTTTAGGGCTAAGAAGCAGAGGGGTATTGGGATAATAGCACAGAAAGCAGAGCTTGAGCCACCTGCCTGGTTTCTGCACCGGGCCAAAAGACTCTCTCTGTTCCAAGGGGTTTTCTAGAATGTTGAGGCTGTAGCATTCGGGCTGACTATGACCAGGCTGCTGCTGAGTGGATGGCTGCTACAGACACAGAACCCTGTGAGGTCACAGAGCAGTAGCCAGTCCTGACCCTTCCTTTACCAGCACAGCATAATGGGCTTTGTTGATGCAAGAGTGAAAGCTGAGGTCATGGCCCACAAAAGTTGCTGTGTTGTCACCTTCCTGTTGGTACAATTCATCCACCCCATGCCTACCAGCCTCCAGTCGTCTGGAGCTCCACAACCCCTTGAGAGCTGGCATAAAATCCAATGGACATCCAACTCTTACAACAACTCTCCCCGTGGAAGGTTTGTGTGTGTCAGAGATTTGGAGGGATGTTGGTGGGAAGACCACAGAAAGCAGAGCTTGAGCCACCTTCCCCTTTCTGCACCAGGCCATAAGGGCTTGTCTCTCGTTCACCAGGACTTTTCTTTTCATTATTATTATTATTAATAACCTTGTATTATGTGATACAGTTTTATAGGTACTGGAATTCACCCCCCCCCCTTGCATAACTCTTCCCCTATAGTGGATTCCTCCACCTTGTTGCATAACCACAGTTCAAGTTATTTTGAGATTTCTTCATTGCAAGCATAGAGTCCAGCATCTTATTGTCCAGATAAGTTCAACAGCTTCTTGGGTATACCTTCTCTAGTCTGAAGGTAGAGTGAACAGAGTAAAATCCTGACCGATTAAAAGCCCCAACATAACATCAGCAACAATATACAATGTTATGGAATTAATTGACATAGGATTGAGTAAACAGTATTTTGAAAACAATGCCAGTTCTTAATCACAACCTGTGACCACTCCATTGACATTTGAACAATTGTGGTGCAAAACAGTTATAGGAGGGGTGTGTAGAGAAATCTTCAATACCTTGTTGAGGAGTACTTACTCTTTCTGTCCCACCTAGTAAGGTATGTGTGAGTCCAATATGACAAAGCTTTCCTTGTAATTCTCTATCTATTCTAATGTGTGTGTGTGTGTGTGTGTGTGTGTGTGTGTGTGTGTGTGTTTGTGGGAGGGGGCTCTGGAGTGACCCTGATGGTCATTGCAGAGAGGGTAGAGACCCAAAGTTGGAACTAATTTAGGACCAGAGAAAGCTCCCCTCCCTAGTCCTGAAGGAAGTTTACTGTTCTTCTGATTCTGAGGACTGTTCTGGGTTGCTGGCTATTGTTTCAATGACCTTGGATCCTACGAGGTAGAATTCAGGCTTTTTTCATTACATGTGGTAGATTCAAAGGGGCGGTTGCCCTCTGAGTTTTTGGGTGCTGAAGCATTTCAGATCCCCATGGTATCTTTGGCAGTTGAGATACAGTCGTTGTTGCCCATACTGATAGTCCTTTTTGGGGATCCATGGGTCTCCAGGTTTGGGATACAATCCTCCTGTCCCCGTACTCCACTCTGGGGTCCCAACCCCGATCTGTGCATTTGACCTCCTGTTAATAGGTTTTTAGGGTTGCTCTTGTTTCTTGTATATCTTTCTAGTTTAACTATTGTCTAATGTACTTTTGAATCTATTGCCAATAAATTACTTGATATATTCCTAATAGGTTACAATACATGTCTTCCTCACACATGTTAACGAGACGGAAGATTTCTGTACTCTGCTGCCCCATTTCTGATTAGCAAAAGGTTTTGAAAGTAAGTAGCTTTTAAAATTTTTGAAAACAAACCGGTTGAGACAGTATTAATTACAGGTTTAAAATAATTATAGGTTAAATTAAAGCAAACATGTGGTATCTAATCTTTTGGGGTTGGCTCTTTTCCTTTAGCATGATATTTTCCATTTGGCCCTGCATTTCTTTTTTTTTTCTTTTTCTTTTTTTCTTTTTTTTTTTAAGAGCTGAGTAGTATTCCATGGAATAGGTGAAGCATAGAATTCTTATCCAGTCTTCTGTTGATGGGCATTTCGGTTGCTTCCATGTTTTTGCAATTACTGATTGTGCTGCTATCAACATAGGGGTACATGTTGGTTTCTCGTATAACCGGTATTTTGGATATATTTTTAGGAGTGCTATTGCTGGGTCACATGGTATGCAGATTTTTCAGTTGTTTGTGTGTTCTCCATACTGATTTCCATAGAGGCTGTACCAACCTGCAGTCCCACCAACAATGGAGTAGCGTTCTCTTTTCTCCATATCCTTTCCAGCAAGTGTTGTTGGTGTTTGCCTGTATGTTGTCCAATTTTACAGGCCTCAGGTGGCACTGCATTGATGTCTTAATTTGATTTTTGTTATTGCCAGAGAGTTTTAGCCCTTTTTCTCATGTTTGTTTGCCATTTGTGTTTGATCCTTTGTGAAATGTCTGCCCATTTCTTGAGTGGCCTGTTTGTTTTGGTATTTTGGTTGTTTCGGAATTATTTGTGTTTTTTTTTTTTTTCTGGAGATTAGCTCTCTATCACCTATGCAGTGAGCAAAGATTATCTCCCATTACGTGAGTTGCTTTTTCACTTTGTAATTGTTTCCCTTGCTGTGCAGCAGCTTCTTAGCTTGATGAGGTCCCATTTGTTTATTTTAATCTTGATTGCTATTGCTTTTGGTGTCCATTTTAGGAAGTCAGGACCTACTCCTAGATCTTGAAGGGTATTTCCAAAATTTTCCAAAAGTTTGAAGGTCTTTGGATTTAGTTTTCGGTCTTGTATCCATTTATGTTTGATCTTAGTGCATGGTGATAGATGCGGGTCTATCTTTGTGTTTCTGCAGGCTATCAACCAGTTGTCCCAACAGCCTTTATTGAAGTGACCTTCCCCTTAGCCTGGATTGTTGTTTGTCTTTTTGTCAAAGTTTATTTTGCCATAATTGCATAGGTTTCCTTCTGTTGCTTCTATTCTGCTCCACTGGTCTTCCTCTCTGTCTTTGGGCCAGTACAAAGCTGTTTTGATAACAACTACACTGTAGTATATCCTGAGAACAGGAATTGTGATTCCCCCTGTTAAATTTCTATTCTTCAGAATCGTTCTAGCTATTTGTGGGTTTTTTGTGTTTCCAGATGAACGTTTGTATCATTGTTTCCAGTTTCATGAAGAATGTTTTCGGCAATTTGATTGGGATTGCATTGAATTTATATTGCTTTTGGTGCTATAAATATTTTAATGATATTGATTTTACCTATTCAAGAGCATGTCATGTTACTACATTTTTTGAGTTTTTGTTCAATTTCTTTTTAAAGTAATGTCTAGTTTTCTTCAAAAAGATCTCCTACAATTTTTGTTAGATTTATTTCTAGATACTTCACACTTTTCTTTGTTACTTTGAATGGTATTATGTTGGTTAGATCTCCTTCTATCTTGGGGGCTGTTTCCATACACTATGGCTGTTGATTTTTGTTTATTTTGTACACTGCCACTCAACCAAACTCTCGTATCAGTTCTAACAGTCTCTGTATTGAGTCTCTTGGCTTTTCAACGTAAAGGATCATGTCATCCACGTATAGTGGAAGCTTGATTGTTCATTTCCCATTTGAATTCCTTTGATTTGTTTGTCTTGTCTTATGGCCTCAGCGAATACCTCCAGGACTATGTTGAATAGCAGTAGAGATAGCAGACATCCTTGTCTTGTTCCAGATCTCAGTGGGAAGGGTTCCAGTTTTGCTCCATTCAGGCTGAGGCTGGCATTGGGGTTTTCATATATTGCTTTGATTGTGTTCTGAATTGTTCCTTCTATGCCTACCCTTGCTAGGGTTTCCATCATGAAGTGGTGCTTGACTTTGTCGAAAGCCTTTTCTGCATCTATTGATACTATTATATGATTTTTGTTCTTCAGTTTTTGGATGTGGTGTATTACGTTTTTGAATTTATGAATGTTGCGCCATCTCTGCATGTCAGGAATGAATCCTACTTGATCCGGATGAATGATCAGTTTGATTTCTTTTTTTTTTTAATTCTATTGGCTAGTATTTTATTGAGAAACTTAACATCAATGTTCATCAGGGAGTTTGGTCTGTAGTTGTCCTTCTCTGTTAGTTTTCTTACGGGTTTTGGGATTAAGGTGATATTGGCTTCATAGAATGAATTTGGAAGTGTTGCTTCCTTTCCTATTGCTTTGAATAGTGTGTAGAGGATTGGGGTTAGTTCTGTTCACAATGTTTTGTATAATTCTGTAGTGATACCATCTGGTATCACAGACTTTTCTCTGTTTGGAGATATCTAATTATTGATTCAATCTCTGCCTGAGTTATGAGTTTGTTTAGGTCTTTTCTTGCCTCTGGGGTAAGATTTGGTTAGTGGTGGAAGTCTAAGAAATTTTTCATTTCTTGATGGTCTTCTGACTTGTTGGAGTATAGTTCATTGTAGTAATTTCTAATTATTTTTTTAATGGTTGCAGTGGCTGCTTTTTGCTGCCTTTTTCATCCTTAATGCCTTTAATTATACCTTTCTCTTGTTTTTTCTTTATCACTGGATTGTCTCTTTTGTTTATCTTCTCAAAAAAACAGCATTTTGATTCGTTGATTTTTAGTATAGTTTTTTTTTTTTCTAAATTTCTATTTGGTTTATCTCCTCCTTTGCTGAGTATTGCATTTGGGGCTCTTCTGCTGCTGTTTTTTTAATTCCTGGAGGTGTGTGCTTAATTCCTGTATTTTGCGCCTTTCTCGGTGCTTGACATGAGCTCCAATTATGAAGAACTTATCCCATAGCACTGCCTTGGCAGTGTCCCACAAGTTTTGGAATGTACCAGAGTTTTCATTCATTTCCATAATTTTGTTTATACCATCTTTAATTTCTTCTCTGACCCATTGTTCGTTTTTATAGAATATTCTTCAACCTCAAAGAATTTCTGTATTCCCCGGGGGGTTTTTGAACTGCTGATTTTTTGTTTCATTCCGTGGTGGTCTTAGAGGGTACATGGTATTTTTCGAATTTTTTTATGTTAGTGAGGCTTGCTTTGTGCCCTATCATGTGGTCAATTCTGCAGAAGGTGCCATGCACTGCTGAAAAAATATATAATCTATGGCCGTAGGATTAAAAGTTTTATAAATGTCTACCAAGTACAGTTTTTCTATTGTTCGTGTGGGCTCTATTGTTTGTCGAGTTTTTGCTAATTTGATCTGTCTATTGGTGTTAATGGGGTGTTGAAATCACCCCAATTATTGTGTGCATATCTATATCTCCCCTTAAGTCTGTAAGTAATTGCTTCATATAGGTAGGTGTGCTGGAATTTGGTGCATATATGTTCACGATGGTAATTACTTCCTGATGGATCATTCCTTTCACCAATATAAAATGACCTTCCCTGTCCCTTTTGATGTTTTGCACATTGAAGTTTATATCATCTGAAATTAGGACAGCTACACCAGCTTTTTTGCTTTTTTTCTCTTATCTATTGGCATGAAATATCTTTTTCCAACCCTTTACTGTCAGTTATTTAGCGTCTTTTCTGGTTAGATGTGTCTCTTGTAGGCAACAGATAATTAGTTCCTGTTTGATGAAAGAGTCCGTTAATGTTTACCTTTGGAGCGGTGAGTATGCACGCTGTATGTATTAAGAGTTAATATTGAGAGATTGCAATTTTGCCCTGCAATGCATATGTGTTTTCGAGGGTGTTAGTATCTGTGGACTTTATCCTTTTTGTTTGGACTCTGTTGGGGAGACCTTCCTGTTTGCCATCTTTGCTTATGGTTTGTCTCCTTTTTTTCTGGATTTATAGTACTTCTAAAGAGATTTTGTAGAGCTGGTTTTGTGCTGGCATATTCTGCTAGTTTCTCTTTGCTTTGGAAGTATCTGATTTCATTCTCAAATACAAATGAGATCTTGCTGGGTACATTATTCTTGGCTGACAGTCGTTCTGATTCGGGAGTTGGAAGATTTTTGTCCACACTTTCTTGCGTGTAGGGTCTCTTCAAACAAGTCCGTAGTATTTCTGTTTGGATTTCCCGTGTATTTGATCTTTTCTCTGCTTCTTACTTGTCTCAGGATTCTTTCCTTTTCTTTGTTGGAGTGGAACCTGAGCACCATATGTCTGGGTGAAGATCTGTTTGGCTTGTATCTTGGGAGTTCTCTAACCATCCTGGATTTGGGAGGGGTTCATATTCCAAGTGTTTTGGAAATTTTCCTGTAAAATTTCGGTGAGCACCATTTGCATTCCTGACTCTCTTCCGACTCCTTCCTGAAGGCCAATAATCCTGATATTTGATTTTCTGAGTTGGTCTTTGATTTCTTGTATGGTCTTGTTGGCTTTGTCCAGACTTTGTTTCCAGCTGTTTAATGAGCTGGGTATCCTCATTTTGTGTGTCTCCCATATCAGAGATCCTCTCTTCTGCTGTATTTATTCTGTTGGTTAGACTCTCAGCTTTGTGCTCTAAGAATTTTGCTTTTCATTTGTTGTATTTCTGTTACTATGTGGTTCTTGGATTCTTTGAAGTCTTCCCAGTTCTTCTCATTGTCTCTGACAAATTTTACCATTATTTTTAAAAATTCCTTGTCTGGTAGAACTTCCATGTCTTCATCTTGCATCTCCAAAATAGATATTGGCTTTAGGTCTTCTTTTTCTTAGGGTTCTGGCTCTCTCATCTGAATCACTTCTTTTTCTAATGCTTCGTCTCATTGCGTTATTATTTCTCCTTGATTTGGAGGATATATTCTCTGGTTTGTTTATCTGCAGTTTCTGGTCTCAGTGTAGTATTCTGTGGTAAGTGTGAGTCTTCTCCTGCTTTTTTTGTTTGCATGCAGAAGAGAATTTATTTAAATCCTGTTGGAGCCATTTGGTGGGGGTGGGGGTTGCCTGTTAATCCCTGGGTGTATATTGTCATCTGTAGCTCTGTGGTTCGAGGCCACTGCCACAGAGCCTGCAATTGTGCAGCTGCCCAGCCCTGTCCTGACTTGAAATTCAAGCACTGGTGTGCTGAGCGTCCACCCAGCACTGTCCCTCAGAGAAAATGAAGTCGCAGAAGCCCATAACACCCGTCCTGATGCCCTCAGGCAATTAGCAACTCAGGTGCTGGAGTGCTCTGAGACCCACAGAGAAAGTGAAGCTACACTCTCCACTGGTGTCTGCCACCTCAAAGCTCTCTGGTGTTTAACAGCGGGATGCTGCTCTGAAGTGAAAGTCTGGCACTGGAGTGCGGATGGGCCACCTACTGCTAGTCCCACAGAGAAAGTGAAGCTGCACTCTGCACTGATGTAGCACCACTGGGGTTTTGTAGGAGCGCTACATCCAGCCCCCACACTAGTTTGACTGTTCAGTTCTCACACAGGCTCAGGCTTGGAGAATTTCGTGGGGTTGGGGTAGGGGTGTCTAGCAGGATCAGTCTCCAAATGATTCTCTCACAGGTAGCTAGGTCTGATAGGCTCTTCTTCACAGCAGTCCATACCTCGCTAGGACCCCAGGCATCCCAGTGCTGCCAGAGCCAGTAGCACAAAGACTCCAAGACAGATGCCACCTGAGGCCCGTGCTACTTGGAGAACCAAGCAATCTCACTGCTCGCATCTCGGGAGATTCCACAGAGGGAAAGACAAGGGGTCCCTGCTGGTGGAGATGTTAACAAAAGGCAACTCTCCAGCTGTATCCGTCCACCCTGGGTTGGTTGGGCTTCCCCCTGGTGCTCCTCTTTCCCACGTTGATTCACCACATTCTATACAGGTCGCTGTGATTCCTGCATTCTTTCCTTGGACACGTACCAAATAATGGAGTTCTTCTTGGCTGCTCAACGTTTAAGCAGATCCAGTTATCCTTCCAACGGTTCCTTGATCTGCTGAATTTCTTTCAGCTGTGCCTGGTCCCTCCTTCACGGCAGCACTACTATGACTGTAATCCTAGGTCAGCCACCTTAGCTCAATGGTGAGATGTTTCTTAGAGACTAGATATTGGACATGGGTGACAGGTAACTGGCGATGTGATCCAGCTCTTCTTCATTCTAATCCCCTAGTGTATAGAGCATATTGTTCCTCTCCAAT